TGAACTGGCTTTTCCAAAATCCCCCATTTCTTATTTTTATAAATGTACCTCGCAGAAAATAACATACAAAAGTGTTTTATAAGAGATGGCATGATCATCCCCATACAAATTATAATGAAGTATAATATGGGAGACTCAATAGAGTTCTGATTATGCTATAGTACACTAATTGGACCTCTTAAACTCAATCTTGAGTGGCAAAGAAAAATCTCCAGTTAAATTCCCAAACTTAAAATCACATTGTACCCTAAAATATCACATCACATTCTGTTGCATTTTCCACACTGGAATCCCTGTATCTGGAAGAAATGATACTTCTTTTTTTATACCTAGAATGCCTTATGTCATACACTGTGCAACACCAACACTGTCATGGTGCAATACAAGAGAGTGTCATCCCAATGTTAGTTTCTTTAGGAGTTTGTTTCTTTTGAAAATATGGTATGGTTATAGACTGCACTTCCTCTTGCGTGTACTTCGAAAACAGATGTTAGATATCATTTCTCTGTTAATCGCAGGAAATAACACCTTCACAAGGGAATTTCCTTCATAGAAATAGTCAAGACTTATTCCTCAAATGTTTGGATGGGTTACAATTGGCTCCAGTCCATAATACAACCCACATTACCCAGCCTGGCTTTTAATCTTGTCATCCTGTAAGCAAACACCTTCATTCTTTCAGACACGAGAGCGGTGGTCTTCATTCTCCCTTTTAACTGACAACATCACTGCTTGTGCCTGGAATGCTTTTACTCTTTGAACCCAGGTCCTCGGTGCACTTGCCGTCCCACTCACCATAGTGCCTTAGATCGATATCCTTTTCCAACCAATTCTGATTGAGCTTAAAAAACCTAAGTGTGATCCGCCTGCTTTTCTTCCAGCGGTTCATGAAATCCGACTTCAGGTTTGACACAAAAGAGGACTTTAGCCTCAAGTTAAGGAACCTTTTACCGTGACTGCCTAAGACTGTTTTTACCACTTCCTCAAAGGTTTGGTCCTTCTTTACCTTCAGGTATTGCTCTATAATCGTTCGTCTCTTTAGAGTTAATGCCATCTGGAAATGTGAAGGAAATACTTGTAATATCTGATTCATAATAATCCCAAGTTCTGAGTGACATCAAGCATTCATCCACTAAAGAAAACCTGTATTTCAATTTCTTTTCACAGGGTACCTTTTCCTAATCACATATGGGGGCTTGGCTGACAAGACTAGAGGTAAATTCAGTCACAAATACATCAAACATTAAAGATAAGAAGCCTTCTGAATGGTTCACTTTGTGCATCAAAAAAAATATCTGCATTTCTTTAAGATGAAAAAAAAAAAAAAAAAAAAAAAAAAAAAAAAAAAAAAAAATATTGATGAAAGAAATCTAGGCTCGTCTTGATTGGTCTTGAAAAACAGTCTTTCTGCTACCTGAGAAAATGGACTTCTCACGCACACACTGTTTCAAATTTGTCACGGTGTATTTCAGTTTTGGGCAAGTTTGGAAGAATGATAAGTGTGCAGTATGAGCAGAACATATTTATATAAAATTCCTTTCTTCTTTGCATATTCTACAAGTCTGCCATCATAGAGGGAATCCACACATACTTCCACTCAATAACACTTTTCCATTATGAATTCTTCAAAACTTATCAAGAAACACTTCATTACCAACACCAAAATTCATGGCTTTAACAAGATTTGGAAAAACTTTCAGAACATAAGTACACACACAATAATTACAACCAATTTCAAAGTTTAAAAACATTTTCTCTTGTCCATTTTCTCACTCTCTTCTTTCCTCTCTCTTTATTTACCTAGTAGGTTTCCCTCCCTTTCTCTCTTTTCCTTTTCCTGTCACTCCTATTGAAATACATTTTATAAAGAAAAAAAGGAGGAAAAAAGGGTCCTTGCATTTGCCTAAAGACAGCTGGTATAACTGTCACTGAAATGATGCATTAGAACATCACTTCTATAAGCATCAATTACAAATACTATCGATAACAAATTTTATAATTTTGGTCTCTGAAAAATAAAGGACTGAAAAACAGAAAACAAGCTTCTCAAACCATAACCTCCATATTTTTGAAATGCTTTAAATGAAAAGAAAAATATAACTAATCCAAGATCAAACAAAGATATAAAGACGAGAAAAACAGAGAACCCTATCGGCAAAACAGAGCCCCTTCACCCGGCCTTGCACTTTATCCAGTACTTACATTGAGATAGGGCCCCTGATAGTCTTCTTCAAGGAGAGCTTCTGGCATGGTCTCTGCCTCGGGCTCGGGTTCCGGATCGTCTGGGTCGGACATTGACTGTGAGTCGTTGCTGTGCGCACGCCGTAGCCTCTTTCTGGGCTGTCCTGAGTCTGTGTGTGAGGGCATCTGTCTCTTGCCTCTGTTGTCGAGGGGCTCTGCGTCCCCCGAGAGTGGGCTGCACTGAGAAGAATCCAAGTTATCTGTTGGAAGAGGCGGGCGAGTGGAATGATTAGCTGGCTTGGCTTCTGGCTAAACTGAGTGATGACAGGTAATCTGGCATTCTAGCAAGTATGCAAATATTTTGGCTTTTGCAGTATTTGAACACATGGCTAAATATAAAAATAATAATAACAACAACAATAATAATAATAATAATAATGATAATAATAATAATAATAACAATGATAATAATAATAAATAATAATACTCTGGTACCTTTTATCACCATCTATTACTTAATTACTCTGACTCACCTAATAGTCTCAGGGGATATACTGGAAGGTCCTCCTCTATCGTATTCAAACAGGTGATGTCGGCCGAGTCTAAATCATCATTCATGGTCTCTTCCTCCTCAGGGACTTAAGAGTATAAAAATAAATAAATAAATACATTAATTAATTAATTAAAATAAATATATAAAAAAAAAAAAAAAAAAAAAAAAAAAAATTGATGAAAGAAATCTAGGCTCGTCTTGATTGGTCTTGAAAAACAGTCTTTCTGCTACCTGAGAAAATGGACTTCTCACGCACACACTGTTTCAAATTTGTCACGGTGTATTTCAGTTTTGGGCAAGTTTGGAAGAATGATAAGTGTGCAGTATGAGCAGAACATATTTATATAAAATTCCTTTCTTCTTTGCATATTCTACAAGTCTGCCATCATAGAGGGAATCCACACATACTTCCACTCAATAACACTTTTCCATTATGAATTCTTCAAAACTTATCAAGAAACACTTCATTACCAACACCAAAATTCATGGCTTTAACAAGATTTGGAAAAACTTTCAGAACATAAGTACACACACAATAATTACAACCAATTTCAAAGTTTAAAAACATTTTCTCTTGTCCATTTTCTCACTCTCTTCTTTCCTCTCTCTTTATTTACCTAGTAGGTTTCCCTCCCTTTCTCTCTTTTCCTTTTCCTGTCACTCCTATTGAAATACATTTTATAAAGAAAAAAAGGAGGAAAAAAGGGTCCTTGCATTTGCCTAAAGACAGCTGGTATAACTGTCACTGAAATGATGCATTAGAACATCACTTCTATAAGCATCAATTACAAATACTATCGATAACAAATTTTATAATTTTGGTCTCTGAAAAATAAAGGACTGAAAAAACAGAAAACAAGCTTCTCAAACCATAACCTCCATATTTTTGAAATGCTTTAAATGAAAAGAAAAATATAACTAATCCAAGATCAAACAAAGATATAAAGACGAGAAAAACAGAGAACCCTATCGGCAAAACAGAGCCCCTTCACCCGGCCTTGCACTTTATCCAGTACTTACATTGAGATAGGGCCCCTGATAGTCTTCTTCAAGGAGAGCTTCTGGCATGGTCTCTGCCTCGGGCTCGGGTTCCGGGTCGTCTGGGTCCGACATTGACTGTGAGTCGTTGCTGTGCGCACGCCGTAGCCTCTTTCTGGGCTGTCCTGAGTCTGTGTGTGAGGGCATCTGTCTCTTGCCTCTGTTGTCGAGGGGCTCTGCGTCCCCCGAGAGTGGGCTGCACTGAGAAGAATCCAAGTTATCTGTTGGAAGAGGCGGGCGAGTGGAATGATTAGCTGGCTTGGCTTCTGGCTAAACTGAGTGATGACAGGTAATCTGGCATTCTAGCAAGTATGCAAATATTTTGGCTTTTGCAGTATTTGAACACATGGCTAAATATAAAAATAATAATAACAACAACAATAATAATAATAATAATAATGATAATAATAATAATAATACAATGATAATAATAATAAATAATAATACTCTGGTACCTTTTATCACCATCTATTACTTAATTACTCTGACTCACCTAATAGTCTCAGGGGATATACTGGAAGGTCCTCCTCTATCGTATTCAAACAGGTGATGTCGGCCGAGTCTAAATCATCATTCATGGTCTCTTCCTCCTCAGGGACTTAAGAGTATAAAAATAAATAAATAAATACATTAATTAATTAATTAAAATAAATATATATATAAAGGAAAAGAAACAGAAAAGAAAGCAAGAGAGAGTAAAACAAATAAAAATAATAGTTGAAAATTGCAACAACATACATTCAGAAATGTTTATTTGATAGTATAATTATAATGACATTCTATGAGATTAAAATACTACAACGAAGAATCTATCACACTTTCTAAAAAAATATTTGAAGTGCACTATCAATCATGATACTTATATAACAAAAATACATTATAATAAAAGAGATAGCAGAGATACAGAAAAAAAAAAAAAAAAAAAAAAGTACAACTGCAGGACCAACAACAATTGGAAGAAGAAAAAAATCAGAACATCAAAAGATACAATAACAGACATAAGACAAAAATGGAGAGAGAGGGAGAGGGGGAGGGGGAGGACAGAGAGAGAGAGAGAGAGAGAGAGAGAGAGAGAGAGAGAGAGAGAGAGAGAGAGAGAGAGAGAGAGAGAGAGAGAGAGAGAAAATTAATCATAAGTAACTCACATGAATCAAAATTATCCACATCTGTGGCTGCCACTGCCTCCTCACTTGGCATCTCCGCAGGCACTGTCTCTCCTTCCCCTTCTTCTGTCAATTCCTTGCTTTTCTCTGCCCGAGCCAGGAGCAGCATCTCTGCCTCATAGGGGTCTGAAGGCATCTCCTCACGAATTTTCTGTATGGGGTAACAATGGTGAGGTGTGGTGAGTGAGTGCTATGAGGCTGGTTTACATCGTAGTATGCTGACTAACTAACAACTTGACTATTAGTTCTGCCAAAGATGACCTAAATATTCGTAATGAATCTAGAGGATGTTGCTGGTCCAATGTCTCTAAAGAAGCTGAAACCAAGATATTATTAGTAAAAAATTTCCTGGAGCTAAACCTATTCAAGGGGTTAATGATTTGGCTAAAAATACTGCAAAACATATACATGAATATAAAACAATGAAAATAAGATCCAAATTTTGATGTTTATACTATAAAGCTTTCATATACTTAACCCATTTGCGCCAGGTAAAAATGAACAAAAAATGGTGGAAATGCTGTGCTCATTTTTTATATTTTTTAATGAAATTTCTCTACACTAGATGGTTCTGCTTTACCTGATTTCATTTGGCGGGAAAATGTATTTTTACAAGTGCTATGAATATCAATGGTTATCTTTATTATAAACATTATAATTACTATAATGTTATAAACATTAGTAACAGCAAAATAAGATAATGCAAAATAATTTCGTAAATTAAAGAAAAGGGTAAACAGACGAGACAGGCAGTGCAAGTGGAGCCATCTATGTTTGTAAACAATCAAACAAGTAAACTCACAGTGGGTCCGTCACGTATACGTGACGCCCGGCGCGAATGGGTTAACCCATTCGCCACACGTGGCAAGAATAGATGCCATACCCACTTTGAGACACGTTTATTTATTGTATTTACACATAGATGGCTCCACAAGTTCTTAATCACCAAACAGCCAGTTATCAAGAACTACCTATTTCACCTGTTTACCATTTTCCATTACTTTAGGAAAGGGTTTTTTTGTATCATTTCATTGTCTAAAATATTCTAATGGCTATTTAATAATGATAACATCAGTAACAATAACAGTATCGATAGCAGTGCTATTAATTTTCCCGCCAATTCAATGAATGGGAAAATCAGGGTCGGTAACTGGGGGCTACTGATAGACTCCTTGCTGAGTACATGTGGAGCCATCTGTATGTAACAAAATTCACCAAAAACTACAGAGGACAGAAGATAAATCCGGGGCGAATGGGTTAACCCAATGGCGCCGGGTGTACAAAACAAAACAAAAAAAACTCTACACTTAAGCAAACAAAGGCGGTGCGCCGACTTTGAGTGCATGAGTAGGGGACATCAGCCCAAATCACTGGCTCGCCGCGCTTTGGCGCGCCGCCGGCTCATTTGGCTGCACGCCAGCTTTCAAGCGGTTTGTTTGCACGCCGATCGGCGTCACCCGGCACCAAGGGGATAGGACTAGACTGATGGTGCAAAATAATGAAGTTGACTTCTGACACCAAAGAATTAACCCATTGCTGCCGGGGAAAATGAATAAGAAAATGGGGAAAATGCCATGCTCATAAACATTTTCATTTCATATTCTTTTGTGAAATGTCTCTCCACATAGATGGCTCTGCCTTAACCCTTCGTGCCGGGTGACGCCAATCGGCGTGTAAACAAAGAGCTCGAAAGCTGGTGTGCAGCCGAACGAGCCGGTGGCGCGCCGCCTTTGTTTGTTTAAGCGTAGAGTTTTTTTTTTCTTTTGTACACCCGGCGCCATTGGGTTAACTGATTTCACATTTCCTTGAATTAGCAGAAAAATGTATTTTTACAAGTGCTATGAATATCAATGGTTATCTTTATTATAAACATTATAATTACTATAATGTTATAAACATTAGTAACAGCAAAATAAGATAATGCAAAATAATTTCGTAAATTAAAGAAAAGGGTAAACAGACGAGACAGGCAGTGCAAGTGGAGCCATCTATGTTTGTAAACAATCAAACAAGTAAACTCACAGTGGGTCCGTCACGTATACGTGACGCCCGGCGCGAATGGGTTAACCCATTCGCCACACGTGGCAAGAATAGATGCCATACCCACTTTGAGACACGTTTATTTATTGTATTTACACATAGATGGCTCCACAAGTTCTTAATCACCAAACAGCCAGTTATCAAGAACTACCTATTTCACCTGTTTACCATTTTCCATTACTTTAGGAAAGGGTTTTTTGTATCATTTCATTGTCTAAAATATTCTAATGGCTATTTAATAATGATAACATCAGTAACAATAACAGTATCGATAGCAGTGCTATTAATTTTCCCGCCAATTCAATGAATGGGAAAATCAGGGTCGGTAACTGGGGGCTACTGATAGACTCCTTGCTGAGTACATGTGGAGCCATCTGTATGTAACAAAATTCACCAAAAACTACAGAGGACAGAAGATAAATCCGGGGCGAATGGGTTAACCCAATGGCGCCGGGTGTACAAAACAAAACAAAAAAAACTCTACACTTAAGCAAACAAAGGCGGTGCGCCGACTTTGAGTGCATGAGTAGGGGACATCAGCCCAAATCACTGGCTCGCCGCGCTTTGGCGCGCCGCCGGCTCATTTGGCTGCACGCCAGCTTTCAAGCGGTTTGTTTGCACGCCGATCGGCGTCACCCGGCACCAAGGGGATAAGACTAGACTGATAGTGCAAAGCAATGAATTTGACTTCTGACACCAAAGAATTAACCCATTGCTGCCGGGGAAAATGAATAAGAAATGGGGAAAATGCCATGCTCATAAACATTTTCATTTCATATTCTTTTGTGAAATGTCTCTCCACATAGATGGCTCTGCCTTAACCCCTTCGTGCCGGGTGACGCCAATCGGCGTGTAAACAAAGAGCTCGAAAGCTGGTGTGCAGCCGAACGAGCCGGTGGCGCGCCGCCTTTGTTTGTTTAAGCGTAGAGTTTTTTTTTTCTTTTGTACACCCGGCGCCATTGGGTTAACTGATTTCACATTTCCTTGAATTAGCAGAAAAATGTATTTTTTACTAGGAATAGGAAATAGTGCCATATAAGTAGAGTAGAATAGAATAGAATAGAATAAAGTAAAGTAAAGTAAAGTAAAAAAAAAAAAAAAAAGGAAGAAAGAAGATATTTATCATCAAAATCAGAATAAAGAACTACTACATAAACATAAAAAAAATAATAATAAATATAAAATAATTAAACATTAAAGCAAATACATAAATAAACAAAACAAATAAACAAAGGAACAAATAAATACAAAACAAGTAACAAATAAAATATAAAAATATAAACAAAAAACAAAGAAATGGCTAAACAACAAACAACTAACCGCCATGGTTTCCTTGATGTCCTCGGTGGTCTTAGCTGTCGTGGGGATGAACACCGGCACGGGCAAGGGCAGGGGCACGAAAATGGGCACGGGGCAGGGGGCATTGTACATCATCATGGGTGACGGCACATACACGGGGATTGGTATGGGCAGGATCGGCGGAGGCTTCCAAGTGGACGATAAGCTGGGTTGCGTTTCGTCGTCAGCTGACAGGGGTTCTGCAGTGCGTGGAGTTTGGCATTTTAGTGAAGTGAATTCTACATCCTTATCTCTTCTGTTATTTCTTTCATATGGTCAGTAATGTATCTATTTTTACATCGCAAATACACAATATATACTGACAGCTCTCAATATTTCGGTCAATGCTTTCCGAAACCTTAGCAACATTCTTCCAATCTTACAAGAACTGACCGGTAAAAAATAACAAGAGAATGCAAATTCCCTTCCCTTACCCGTCTGCGTCTGTCTGTGCCAAGGATGCGGCTTGCAGAAAACCCCCTTTGTGCTCTGCATGGGGCGGCATGAAGTCATTTTGTTCACCATGACAGGAGGTTTTAGTAGCTGTAATAGCTCTGCTGCCGACACCTTGACAATGAAGGAGAAAGGACGAAAAAGCATGTATTAAAACTGGGAGAACAGTTATCAGAGCAATAATGTAACAATAATATAATATAAACAGCAATGATAATATCTATAATTATCAGTTTCAATGTCTATGAGTCTTTATCTACTGCCTAATAGCTTTGGATAAAAAGTACATATAAATAAAAACAAAACTTCAAAATTAAACAAAACAACCCCAAAAGAAGCAAATCTTAACCAACTGCCACTGGGAACATGTAATCTACACTGGTGCTTATTTTGAGAATTTCCTTTACAAAAAGATAAGATAAAGTTGCCTTATTCTGTAAATCTAAGACAAATAATTTCCCATATATGCTTCATGCTTCAATGGGAAATACTGCTTTAACATTCCTTCTTGGAATGTAAACAACTATACATAATTTCACATATTATGCTGACTGGGCATATCAAAAATATGTTCTTATGCATACTTTTCACTGCTGAATAATTTTTTATAATATTTTTGGCAGACAGTTCTTGAGGACATTCCAAGATCAGAGAACAACTGATACAAATATCATAGGAATTTCAATTTCAGTAAGTCTATAATACTGATTATGATATCATTAATAACATCATCATTAATCTAATGTGGGGTCACATCCATCTACGACACAACAGCCACAAAAACATGAATAACTTCACAAAAGTGTAAGTAATTCCTTCTCATATTACTGCTATACTTACTATACTATAATCCCAATCATTATTGTCATCATAAACTGATAAAAAAAAACCTTTAAGCTACAAGCATATTTTCTTATGTGCCTCATAACAAAGACCAAATGCAAAATAAATATATCATCATCAAGAACAAAACATAATCCTATTCAAAAGCACATGCGAAATAATCAAGAGGTTGTAATGGTTGCAATATAACATCACTTTTGAAATAAAAGAGATATTCTCCATCTACACCAAAAACATGCACAACCAAAAGAAAATCCTTCACACAGTTGCTCTTACAATTTCCTTCTTGATTATAACAGTAATCTACAAATCACTGATACTTTGCCAGTGATCTTGGTCTCTTAACTCATAATCAAACAATCATCCTCATTAACCCATTAAATGCAGATGGCATATTATCATGCCAAGACTATGCTGGACCAAGTCATTAATGGCATCACATGACAAGACACTACACCCTCAGGGACCTAAACTGAAGGAAAATTTTCTATTGTTTCAAACATTTGCTTTTAAGTGGTTTTGTGTCCAAAGTCACACTTGCAATGCAAAAACTGGGGACAAATGGAGGAACTGCCAATGCAAAGTAACAATCCAGTGTTACTGCCACAAGCCAGTTCTTAATACTGACTTGACATGTTAATCAAGCCACCAAAGGTTCAATATGATTCAAAATTTCTGAAAAAATAAAAGCTGGAGCACACACTAATTAAAAAAAAGTATTACTCCATAAACTGACAAACCTAACGTAATGAACCCCTAGGTGCCCAATTTCTCCCATTACTTAACTTCCACTGTGTCACCCATTCCCCATGTTCTTGACTACTGCTCTCTGACCTTAACCAATAACTGTGGAATTAGGTTTTCTGGCAATTTACTGGGATAAAATAAGGGGATATTTAATTTCCTCCTCTCACTGTTACTGCTTGCATTGTCTCCAGTTCCTTTCCATTTCACTAGGACTGTTCGTTTTAGAAAACCCTTTCTTATTATATGATGCACATGGTATCCATCATGTGATGTGTGTTGCACTGACATGCTAACCATTAAAGGATGTATGTTGCAATTATTGGGTTAAAATAAGGGACAGGCTATATAACACTAATCATGTAAAAAATAAGGATAAAGTGACATCACAGCACAGAAAAAGCAAACTGATGGCATTGCAATACATACGGGGGGGAGCTGTGCCTTGGGCTGAGCACTTCCCTGGAGGATACCGAGAGAGTGTTTATTCTCCACACATAATATCTAACTTACTATGGCATTTTATTACTATAATTCTGTTATGATATATAACCTAATATTCATGTTCTAGTCCATGCACTGACTAACTTATGACAAGAAATTCCAGTTCATGAAAAGATATTCCAAAGCCAGATATTCTTCAGGCAAGTTAACTCAAAATTAATTGTAATTTGTAGTGACTATTTACGGTACTGGCCAAACCTGATACAAACTATGTAAAGAGATAAAACATCTGTAAAAGGCTCAGATACCTTTATGTGCATGACACTTTTTAACAAATGTCTTTTTATTCTCTAAGTGATAACTATATGGTTAATAAGTGATTCTGTTTTACTTTCAAATCCCAAACTACTGTTATAATCACATCATCATGAAAATCATTTCGTGAAAACACCTCCACCTCAGCAGCAGCCAAACATAACTAACTCTAAATGTGTATGGATAGTCGAAGCAGTTTTCACCACTTCCTGGAACTGTTTACCCTTGTCTGTTTCTAATAACTCTGGCAATCACTCAGACAATGGCAACACAGCAAAAGAAATGCTTTTAAAGATTTTAAGCTACAAGGACCACAGTATGCTAAAGAGCGTGGAAGTAGAGCAGTAGTGAAAATCTCTGGCCCACTGTTAACTGAGTAGCTGATAGACATGTGGTCAAGATAAAATATCCTTGTAAAGTATTGGGATACTAATTTTCATCTTATTTTCTATGAATTTCTTTGCTATAAAGATAAGGCATTTTATGATATGTAGCCTCCTGAGGGAAAATATGACAAAGAAAAGAACTTACATTCAATGTATCTTGCGTTGACTCAGTGGCTGACTTTTGTTTGGCTTGGCTAATGCTGTCAGTTGTCTGGGACGCGTCACTGGTTACCGGAGTAGATGGCTTATGTCCTGGAGAAGCAAATAAAAAAAAATAAATTAATTAAAAAAATAATAATAATAATAATAAAAAAATAAATATATAATGAACTGCATAATAAGTCAATGACGGTATAAAATTTCTTATATGAAAGCAAACTTAGAGGTACTACCATGAAATATAAATATGTAAAAAAAAAATAAATGATAATACAACAGGACTCTGCTTTCGCCTGTACCATTCTGATCGGATATACAACAATGTGGACCACATCATTGCAACAAACCTGGACAGACAAAAATAGGAGAACATACTCAACATCCTCCAATACTCACTGATGAGTGTACCTGACTTGACTGTGGTTTGCCTATTTGTGGTCTGCACTCCGTCCACTTGGAATCCATAAATGGACTTGAATTTCGTCGCACAAGAGTATCGGCAAAAGCTCCGCAAGGTGTTGTCGGACATGACCATGTGGTATTGTGCCTTGGCCACTGCAGAACACATGTTACACGAAGTGATCGAAGTGTCGGAGCTGGTAGTGGTTGTGGTAGTTGTGGTGTTTGTCGAATTTTCTGTGGTGGTGGATGTCCCACTCCCTATGGATTTCCTGAAAACACATGGGATAAAAATATATATATTGGTAAAAGCCCTAAAGTTTGGCAATACAAAATAGCATTCCACCATTACAAGTCACATCAATACAACACAGTTTTCTTCCTTAAATTGATAAAAAAAAATCTTAAAACTTACCTTGGTCTCTGGTCGAATTTCAAACAATTTAATGAGCAATAAAAACAGTCTAGGAAATCCTCATCAATCTGTCTATGTATCATATCAAAGTTATATTTTTTAACCTGAAAAAGAGAAAGACAATATCATATCAAAATTCATGCCCTTACACTCCAAACTGTCACTCACTGTAAAACCCATAGATTATACCACTTAAAAAAACAAATCAACTTACAACAAAAAATGAAAAAGGAAAGTTCACGTTTCCCTTTCCAGAAAATATTTGCATTAACCCAAACATACCTTACACGTGTCACAGACTACTATCTTTCGGGCCGAGAGGATGAAAACATTTACGCAGGAGTCAGAGCAGAAGACTCTTAACTGATGTCCCCCATGGTAGAGGTAATGGCACACCTCCTCTGCGTTCATTACACGAAAACAAAGGCAGCACGCAACTGGAATAGATAATCATGTGTATAGTGTATTCTTTTCTAAAGATATATATGTATATGTATATGTATATTAATATATAAATGTCTATATCTATAACTATCTACCTATCTATTTATATATGTTGAGTAAACATATGAATTACTTTCCTTCTTAAAAGTCAAATCAAATTGTATTTAAAAAAAAAAACTGTAACAGAATCAATATAATAAATATGAGGAGAATATGCATGCTTGATTAGGTCATCTATATGCACAGATAAGATGATAATATCTTATCTATCTACATCTAGCATCACCGAACTCCCATCTCTACTGCCCAGAGCACCAAACTATTTACACCTTTTACTGTATAACCACAAAACATAAATAGCCCGTACTATTTTCACCGTCCTCCTACTTTTGTCGAAGGCACTCACCAGCTTTTACTTTATTCACGTATTTGTAGACGTTCAGGCAGGGATCGGAGCAGAGTTGGTGCGGCTCTCCATTCAAGAGGAACTCGTAACGGTTCACCCCTGGAGTCTGGCATACAGTGCAGGGGAGGTTTTCACTATAGTTCTGCTGGCCAATGTCCCTCCTCTGGGTCCGCTTCAGGCATTTGGTGCTGCAATACTCCTGCAATCAAAGAAGAGTAGGTGTAGGACTAAAATAAAAAAACACTAGGATATAGGAGGGGGGGGGGATTATATAAATTGTCTAATCCCTTGACACTGGGATGGCATGTACATACATGCTATATCCTGTGCGATATATGTTTACTGAATTTGATAGCTCTACAAGTGCTTAGTTTCCAAGAAATCAATTACTTGTCTTACCTTATCTCACATGTTTAACTCTTTTTCTTAATTTTCTTAAGATTTTCAAATTTGCTATTGCTTTCACTACTGCTAAAAAAAAAATACAAAAATGGAATTAAGTGCTTTAGAGAGAGAGAGAGAGAGAGAGAGAGAGAGAGAGAGAGAGAGAGAGAGAGAGAGAGAGAGAGAGAGAGAGAGAGAGAAATCCAAACATTCAAGGTTTTGGGAAATCTGGAGAATTCAGGTGAGGTCTAGTAATTAACTCCTTGGTGACTAAGTACTTGTGGAGCCATCAATATGTAAACAGAATTCGCAAAACAAACTACATTAGAAAATGCCACTACCATGTACCCATTTAAATAGCCAATTCATTTCTATAAATCTATATCCACAAAATAAAAGAAAGTTCACTTGATTCTGCAAAATTTCTGAGTAACTTCATTTCCTGAGACCCTAACCAAAACACAGATAAACTGATTCCTTTTTTTAAAGTCCAAAACTCCCTATAAAAGTTCGTGAGCTCACCTTATTCGCCGTGGAGGTAACTTTCTCGACCTTGTCTAAGTTCTTCTGGCAGTAGCAGCACACCTTGATTTTGGTCTTGTAACACTCCAAGCACGTGTTTGAGCAAAACTGGTGGATGTCGGAGCCAAATCTCACGCAGTACTTTCCAATAAAGAGAATGCGCACTCTCTCTTGGCAAGTGTGACACTTTCCAGCGACTTCATTCAAGTGCAAGGCTGTGATGCGGGAAATAAAGAAGTAAATACAATATATAAAACAGTCATTTCTGATGCTACGCAATTATAGCACATTCACAAACCAAAGCAAGCAATCAATTCACAGGCCCTGAAACCCAAAGAAATCCCACGTCACAAAGTCAAAAGCAGGAAAACCGGATGCCTCTTACTCAGGCAGTTCTGTGAGCAAAACTCTCTTGTCTCCCATGAGAACTGGTTGCTCCGGCTGAGGGCGCTCAAGTCCTTGCCGCACATGCCGCACAACTTCTCGAAAATGAGACGCGGCTTCTCCACAAGGTGGTCAGAGGGGAGGTTCTCTATCCACCGGGTCTTGCACTCCTGTGAGCAGATGAAGCCATGCACTGCCTGCTTCAGCTTCTTCTTCACACGGAACTCACACACGGTGGCCTGGAGAGAACGGGTGAGAAAGAATAAACTCAACTGCGTGTGAATTTGTTCATTTTTATTTTCTGAACTTACAAAAGTCAACAGTGAAGTGTAATATTATACAATGGCCTAAGTTTCTAAGAAATATAATAATGAGAGAATATGAGCAAGAAAGGGAGAGATTGAGAGAGAGAGAGAGAGGGGGGGGGGGAGAGAGAGAGAGAGAGAGAGAGAGAGAGAGAGAGAGAGAGAGGAGAGAGAGAGAGAGAGAGAGAGAGAGAGAGAGAAAGAGAAAGAGAAGAGAAAGAGAAAGAGAAGAAAGTAAGAAAGAGAAAGAAAGTAAGAAAGAGAAAGAAAGTAAGAAAGAGAAAGAAAGTAAGAAAGAGAAAGAAAGTAAGAAAGAGAAAGAAAGTAAGAGAGAGAAAGAAAGTAAGAGAGAGAAAGAAAGTAAGAGAGAGAAAGAAAGTAAGAAAGAGAAAGAGAGAAAGAGAGAAAGAGAGAGAGAGAGGGAGGGAGGGAGTACTAACCTTTGTGCAGACTAGACAAATGCGATTAACAGTTAGTATGCTCTTCAGTATGTGGTAAACATTTTTATTACTCATCTCATCCTCTGTTGATCCAACATCTTTAGCAACCTCCTGAAAGAAAATTAAATAAAATGTGCTCGTTATCATTTACAGAATTCTGATATTATTCATAAAATGAATATAATGCAAATAAAACTCCTAGAAAAGTAAAATTGCAAAGACTTCTAGAGGGGGGAAATAACTAAATAAACAAAAAAATAAAAACTGTTTTGTCAACTTTAATAACCATCAGATTGTAATAATGTAACTAATCTAACGAAGTCAAATAGTAAAAGTAGCACTAATGAAATTAATGAAAATATCCATACTTCAAAAAATTACAAAGAATAAAAGCTCATCCATAAAACGCATTTCTACTCACAGACACAGCACTACTGAGCCTGATTTTAGGCCCAACTGAATCGCCTTCTTCATCCTCCTTCCCTGCATCTTTTTCTGCCAGGCTCTCAGAATTAACAATTTTTATTCCTCCGACCGCCGAGTCATCACCTTCTTTTCCTGGCTCATCACCGTGGTCATTGTTGAGCTGCTTCTCCAAGTCCTTCTCAGGCGAGCTGAGGCTTTTGTCCTGGTTGGGGTCTTCGGGACTCATGGGGTCCATCAGCGTGGTCACAGACGAGATCTGGATGTTGCAAAAGGCATCCCGGTCCTCATCGGTCGACAGCCCGGTGATGCTGTCCTCACCCCCAACCACATTGGATATCCTCAGCTGCAGGCCCCCCATTTCTGCAGGACCTATGATCTCCCCATGCTCCAGGATCTCACCAATCGCAGGTCCGTCTGCCAGAGGTGTGGCCACCGAGATGGTTGATTCGGTCGAGTTATCATCGCTTCTCACCTCCTGGGTCTCCTTTTCAACGAGAGAAGCTAGAGATCTTAGTTTAATACCCTTGTTATTGCTGTCCAAACACTGGTCGTCAGAGATGGCATCTCTTTCACACACTTTTTCTTCCTCCTCTTTATCCACCTCTGCTTCTTCATCATTGGCCAAGTCCACAACTTCAGCTGGCTTTTTGTACACTTCGAGTTCGATTATATCTTCCTCCGCATCTTCATCTCTCTTTTCCTGAGTGTTCGTTGGTTCCCCACTCCCTACGTCTACCTCCATTACCTCAGTCCTCTGACAATCCTCATTACTCTCGTCGCCCTTGGAGTCCCCAGCGTCCTCTTTAGAGCTATTCCCCCCCTCATCCCCATTTGCATTCTCACTACACAAGTTATCTTTCTGTAAATCCGTGGACTGACTGTCACTCGTATCTAACCAAGAATTCACTTCTTTACTGTCTTCGAGATTGCCTTTGTCACCAGTACTTTCGTCTTTTTCGAGTTCACAATCCACGAGGCTAAGACTGTAATCCTCTTTATTTTCTCCACTTTCTTCATTCTCTGCATCTTCCTCACCACAGTCATTATCATCATCATCTTTCTCCTTATTCTCTAGCAATGGGTCTACTCCACACTCCATTTCCTGCTCCTTCTCTGGTTCCCTTTCATGCACTGTCACATTATCTATGTCTTTCTGGCAGGTCTCCTCCGACGCACTGTCCCTGTCAGCAAGCGCTTCGTTACTATCACAGTTTTCTTTCACTTCCTCACTTGTGTCTTTCTCCCCCTCACTTTCTTCCTTATCCCCCTCACTTGCTTCCTTATCCCCCTCACTTTTCTGTTCCCCTTCTGCTCCTTCTTCACTCTCATCTCCTTTCTCCACTTCTTCATCTTCGTCTCCTTTTTTCGTTTCATCGCTCGCACTTCCTCCCTCTTTCTCTCCTTTGCTTGATTCTCCGGTGTCTGGCTCCTTCAAGCTCTCCCCCAAAGGATTTTCCGCGTCATCTGTCTCCATGCTCTCTACTTCCGGCTTGTCCATTATGTGCTACGACTTCTGTAAAAGGGATTTCAACTTTTAGTGCTCGTGATGGCCAGCAACAACAACAGAAGGAGGTTCTGATCTTTAAGAATACCTCCTGTGAGAAAAATGCAAGGAATTCATTGTCACAAATGTATCCGACACTTTCCAATTATATCTTTAACAGAAATACATGTATCTCTACATGAATATCTCCCTAGTAAAGCTATAAATAAAAACT